AGCTCCAGTCTGGACCAAAACGCCACCACACCCCACTCATAAACATAAAAGGTAATGTGTACAGTAGAAATTGATTGAAAATCACACACACATTTACTTCAAGATCTAACAAGCCTCTCTTTCTACTAAAATGACATTAAAAAGCACAACTCTTAATGCTTACACTACAGCATGTTTCCAGCTCACCCTCATCTTTCCAGCGACTTTCCATCTGTTTAGCCTATCCTGCCCTGATCAGTTTATTTCTCTAATTCTGAAATGTTTCTAGTTTCACAGTATATTTGTTAAGTAGAAAACCCAAGCACAGACGCAGGATTCCAGGCCACAATGCATATTTTTGTATGAGTGATGAAGGATGAACAGATCTTATTTTGTGTTACATTTGCCATTGTAATGCTGGCACTCAGAAGACTGAGGTAGCAGGACTGCCACTGAGCTGAGGCCAGCTTGGGTTACAACACAAGGCCAGCTTGGACTGCTTAGGAAGACCCTGCCTCAAAAGAAAAAAGAAAAAACTTACCTTTTGCATGTCCGGTCTCCTGCCACCCCAGCATTTTGCCCATTTTTGGCCATAGCAACACATCAAGCCAAGAAGGTAAATTGACAGTCCCAAACCCCAAGGGAAGTTTGTCCCATTGCTTGAGTTGAACCAAGTTTGGACCGTTATTTTGAAATCGAAACATAATTAATTACATCACCTTTAAGGTTTATGATTGGCAAAAAGCCTCTGCTGTCCCAGGAGATGTTTGATGCTGCTATCTGCTGGCTAAGGAGAATTCCAAATGAGGATTGCTTAGCCAGGAGAGGCAGCACAGCCGAGGCATGAAGAAACAGGGATAGGTTTCTGCAAGTTTAAGTTGTATCAGCAAAAACTCAGGCTGACACTGCAGCTGAAGCAGATGGCAAAAGAGCTGCTAAGGGGTGAAACTGACCACAAAGCATCACATACTGAAGACCCACGGAAACCAGGTACCAAAGGCCAACACCATGGATAAAGGCATCTTCTTTCAGCTAACCCCACCCCCCCAGAAGTGAAACTCCGCAGGAGCAACACCCCAGGCCAGGCCTAGTATTCAGTGTCTCCACTGATTGGGCTACAGTGAGGTCACAACATTCATTTTAGGAAAGAAAAAAAAACTTTCTTCTAAGTTAAATATCACGTCTTCAGTCACACGTGGGATCTAGAGAGAGAAAGAAATGACAGAAGAAGAAGGGAAAGCACTAGAGAAGAGGAAGCGGATAGAGGCGTAGAGGAAAGAGGAGGAAGTGGGCTAACAGAAGTCCAGGACACTGTGGAAGGAGGACATGCCCACAAACTAATATGTCACCATGGATTTCAAGCTGTCCCTCCTCTGGTGACATATTAATTCACTCATTCACTGACCAATGGCAGGGCAATAGCATGGGAGGTAAACATGTACACGGTAACCATGACAGGACAGAGACGGGGAGGAGACATTTCAATGCAAGGAGCAGTGCTAGTGCTCAAGATCCGGAAAGTCCACCGGCTGTGAAGTGAAGTCACAGCTGGTACAGAAGCAGAATGTGAGAGGACACCAAGGTTTCCAACCTGAGGAGCAAGCAGAACAATGGGGTGTTACCAAGCCTAGGGACATTAGGACAAACAGATGAGGACATGAACATGCATGCCGAACTCCAAATCACAGTGCATGATCAGAGAGATAATGAAGTTGCAACACAAGACTATTAGAATTTCCAGGAATGAGAGCTTAACGGGACAACAGCATAGAATATAACACAAACTATGTTAGGAAAAAAATCTAGGCCATGGCTTCAGCAGGTTTAAGAAAACATGGTGGGAAAGGAAGGTTACAAATACTCAACGCACTAGCCTAAACAGCTGTTTTTATCCAGCAAAACTAACATGGATTTGGGGCTCTAGGCTGTATTTGCACATCTTTAGCATACCAGCGACCTCTAAGCTGCCTTTGTGATGCTAGTCCTGTTGTCTGGGAGCCTGGAGTGTGCAGGACTAGCACCATCCACCATCTACCATGCTGCTGTGGGGCTCACCCAGGGCTACTGACAACTTGTCCCACAACTGCCCAGTCCTCTGCAGCTGCCAAAAGCACCTCCAAGTGACCTTATGATACAGATAGCCACTGGCAAGTCAAATCTCACAAATATTTTCAATATCAGAAGCAAAGAGGTATCACAGCTGCCTTCCATTCTGTAGGCAGGTAGGCCTAAAAATGAATCACTATGCAACTTTTGCTAATATACTGAAACTACTGAATCACGTGCAGTAGTTTAAGCTGGTGAATTTATAGTATCTGACCACCTCAATAATGCTGTAACTTCCAAAGCTCAACAGATCCCCAGCAATGAAAAACATCAACAAAAATATTTTAACCAAAATATTCATTCCCAGAAGTGCTGTATCCTAGGAACCTAGCTACTGCTCCTAAAATATTTACACTGCTGGAAAAATTTATACAGTAGAAACCCCACTAAATTGCTGGGATAAAACCATTATTCTAAGATGCACCAAATTAAAGAGAGTGAAAGCATTGGAAGAAACTGAGCAGTCTCTTGTCCACTGTAACAGGAGTTGATATACACCGCACATCAAAATCCAGCTTTAAGCTCTGAAAGACATTTCTCAAAAGGGTGCTTTTCATATTTAACCACAATGTCGAATGACCCTAATGCATACTTTTTTGTAATCTACCCCCGAACTTCCTTCTTTATAACCCTCTGCAAGAGCAAGATTTTTGTGTTTAGTGATACTTCTAATGATTTCCTTCTTCCTTAAGAATCACCACACCCCAGTTTTTGTCTCTGGAAACATTCACCCTTTCAAGTCCTGACATCTTCCCTGACTTCTGCTAATGAACCAGCTGGCCGTCAGTTGCTGAGGTAAGAGCAGGTTACCTGTGTCCTTGCAGATTCAAAGTGGCTCAAGAATATAAGCAGTTTTAATCTTTTTCAGACAGTGTCTTTGCTATATTGTCCAGGCTGACCTTGAACTCACTATGCAGCCCAGGTTGACCTCAAACTCACAGCAATCCTCCTGTCTCGGGTCTCCCAAGTACTGGGATTACAGATATATGCCACCACACCCAGCCATTGCCAATAGTTTAAGTACAGTCTGGGATACATAGTGAGTTTAACCAGCCTGGACTATACAGCAAGGCCCTCAAAAGAAAGAAAAGAAAGAAAGAGAGAGAGAAAAGAAAGTGAGACTGTATGGGAAAAGCCACTCAAGGAAAAGATTGTGACTTGCCCATTGTTAGACAATGCAGCAATTTAAAAAATTTGACAGTTCCCCAGCAACGTGCTGTCTGGCACATAGCACATCTGATAAATATTCCTGCCTGTCATTAAGTAGAAGCCCATCATAGCATTAGCCAACCAATAACCAAGTGGCCAGACTATACTCAAGTATATGTTTATTTAGAAGGCACTCTAAGCCACAACTTTAGTCTTGATTACTAGACCAGACTGTCTTTACAATAACAAACTTTAAACAAATTTATGCTAAGGCTATGACAGAAGCCCAAATTCTTACAATGAAAAAAAAAAAAAAAAAGGTCAAAATAGCTTTTGGATTTTTTGTTGTTGGCAGGGAGGGGGAAAGAATCTTACTATGTAGTCCAGGCTAGTCTTGAACTCACTATGTGGGGTAGGCTAGCCTTGAACTCTGAGCAGTTCTCCTGCTTCAGCCTCCTGAGTGCTGGAATTACAGGCATGTGCTACCAAGGCCAGTCTCTTTGATTATTTTTTCTCACAAATATGTGGGAAGTAGAGGCAGATCTAAAATCCAACAACTTATTACCTAAGCAAATGCTGAAGAACAGCCTACTACTACTAAGTGGACTACCAGGGGGAACATGCACAAAGTAACTACTGAATGTTTACAGCCTGACTTCTCTTCACATGGAAATCCTGTAACTGATACATCCTAGGATGTACCTCATACATTCATTACAAGGGTTAGATGAGTTCAGATTTGTACAATACTCAGAATTAAGTAACTTTCAATCAGCTTCTAATTACACTCACCCACATGTTAGAGAGCTACAGTACCTAAGAAGAAATTACTGGGCTGAGGATTTAACTCTGCGGCATAAGTGCCTGCCTGGCAAGCGCAAGGTTGTGAGTTCAATCCCCAGTATCAAAAAAAGAAAAGAAAAGAAAGAAAAAGAAATTGCTGGATTTAGGGAGAAATTCCAACTATGTAATCCTCAATTTAGGGCTAGGCAAAAAGGGGTCCCTTGGAATTTGTCATACAAGCTCCTCATTTGATGGTTGAAGAAACTAAGCATACATTTCCTAATTATAGAGAAATACAAGGATCACCAAAAGCTTTTACAACTATTATTAAGTCTGACCGTCACAATGGCTTGGAAGGGGATATGGGGCAGGTATAATTAACCGTATTTACAGGTGAGGAACCTGAACCAGAGAGCTTCAGTGATTTGCTCAAGGTCACACAGTGAGGTCACACACACAGTCAGGTCTCTGGATGCCCAGTCCAGACCTCCTTCCTCTGTGCTGTGACTCGGGGCCTGGGCTGACTTCGGTCCCATTTCGAAGCAGTGATTCCACGGCCCTACCCCCCAGGAGATGCTGCAGCTGCAAATGTGCATGTGCAAAGTTAAAGCTATTCTGTTCTGGGAATGAGAGGGAATCGATGCTGGCTGGACAGCCGCCCGCACTGGGCTGCGGGAGAAACGCTGCGCCTGCACGCACTCACGAGGGCGCGAGAGCCGGGCTCTGGCTTTCAGAACGGGCGGCGGGGACAGCTCTGCAAATGCGCCAGCCTGCAGGGCCGGAAGGCGCCGCGACGCGGCTGGGGACCGCGCCCGCCCGCCCCCCGCGACCGCTCCGGCGACGCTGCCGCCCCGAGCCGTCCCGAGCCCTCTGTCGGGGCGCTGGGGCGCTGGGCCGCAGACCCGCGGGGCGCCGGGCAGCGCGAGGCCTCTCCCCGCCGCCCGCCGCCTCGGCCTCCTGCGGGCGGCCGCGGGCTGCGTTACCTTTGTGTAGAGCTCGGACGCCGCCATGGCGCCGTGACGCCTGCCACGCGTGGGCCGCCGCTCGCCCCTCGGAGCCGCGCGACCGGGGCGGGACCGGGGCGGGGCCGGGCGGGGCCTCCTCACCGCCCAGCGCGCCGCGCGCGCATCCTCCGGGCCGCCGTCCGCCGCCGCAGTCCCCTCCCCGGCCGCCCGCGGTGCATTGTGGGAGCGGGGGAGGCGGGAGCGGGCTCGCGCGGGCTCGGTGGGTTCTTTCGGGCTCGCGCGCCACCGCCCTGCTTCTCACCTTCCGTCTACACTGCAACTTTCATCCCATCCCACTTCACCCTCACCCCATCGCACCTCATCCATCCCACCTCTCTCCTCACCCCATCCCACCTCATCCCACCTCACCCACCCCCCTCACCCCATCCCACCTCATCCCTCACCTCATCCCACCTCACCCATCCCACCTCTCTCTTCACCCCATTCCCGCCTCACTCCTCACGCATTCCATCTCACCCCCCACCTCATCTTTCCCATGCCACATTACCCCTCACTTGCCTCCACAGGAACACTTGGTACCCTAGGGATGAAGGTGAAGCTAGGCTTCGTGACAGCCATCCAGGAGCACATCACTCCACTGTCACCCTACTGTGCCAGGCTTTGACAGGGCTGTGGTCTGGGGTGGGATCTCGGTTCTCCCCACAATATTCCAGGTTCCAGCACTCTGAGCCCAGCCTGGTTCCAGCATCCTGACAGGTACCCAGTTCCATTCAGGTCCATCCTGTCCCAACCCAATCCCGGCTTCCCAATCCTGTCCAGGTTCTGACCCTGTCCCACTCGTCCCGACCCAGTCCCCATCTTGACCTGGTCCCCTGCCAGTCTGGAGGTCTCGGACGCAGCCCGCAGCTGTGACCCCAGCCCTGCTCAGCTGTCCACGCTTCTGTGTGGCTCCTCAGTACCTGACGTCTGCCCTACCTGCCAGAACTTGGTGTCTGCTCCACCGCAGTGGTCAGTGAGGTGGTGGGGCCAGTCTTCCCTCTGGGACTAACAGGTCACATCTGAAATGCCAGGCCAAGAGACTGTAGTTGTAAGCCTGGCAGAATTGTGTCTGATCTGCCTAGCTGTTTTCATCTCTTTGCAGAATGCAGAGCTAGGGATGGAATCCAGGGCTCTGCACACTGAACCAGCACTCTGAGCTTTGCTACCAGCCAGTCCTTCCTATTTTATATTGATACATAGTCTTCCTAAACTGCCTAAGCTGGCCCCAAATTTCTAAACCTCTTGCCTCAGCCTGTTGATTAGCTGGGATCCCTGGCATGCACCACCACATATGACATCCATTCTTTCTGATTTTGAAACCAAATCTCTGTGATGCTTCAGGTGCAACCCTTTTTTTGACCAAGATTAGGAGGTCTGGCTTCTGCCCAAATCTTCACGTGGCATTCTACCTGGGTGTGTAGCACCCTTGTGCCCAAAGGCCACCTGTTCCTGAGGATTCTGTCATATTGGATGAAGGGTCACCCTAATGATCTTGATTATCTGCAAAGAGATTATTTATGTCTCCAATAAGGCCACATTTCTAGGTTCTGGGGGTTAGGACTTTAACATCTTTTGGGAGACAATATTCAACCTCTATTAGTGTACCCTGGAGAAATTTAGCAGAGTGTGAGATAGACACAGCCTTTGACAGGGTGATCACTGCTGTATTCATGTGGAAACTCTTATTGAGGGCCAAATATATTGCTATCATATACCTTAATAAAGATACAGTGCTGACCAAAATACAGTACCTGGCCTGGGGTGGCTCTCCTGGAGGACAGGCAGGGGTAGAAAAGGGCAGCCCCTGCTGCATAGCTTTAGGAAGTTGCAATGGTGGTTCTGTAAGATGTGTCAAGGTAAGGGCCTGAGGCAAAGTACTGGCTTCCTGGTGATTGTCCCATTGTGTCACATTACAGATGACCAGATACTGGACATAGGTGAGTTTGGCTGGTTGAGAAGGAAATGTAGGTAGTTCAGTGGGAAATCCAAATGGAGAGGTGGGTGGGAGGTCATCTATGACCCAGGAGCAGGTAGGAGAGCAGCATGAAGAACTAAACTTTAAGACAGAAAAACAAGTCAAGAATAGAGTATGGTTCCAAGGGTGATCAGAGTTTACAGCAACATATTCTATTAAAACTTAGAAGAGAGGTCTTCTAAGGATCCAAACACAGAGGAAAGATAAATGTTAAGAAGCTGGAAATGCTAATCACCCCAATTTGTGACACATTACAGATATTTGGGGGGGGTACCAGGGATCAAACTCTGGACCTCATGCTTGCCAGGCAGGGGCTTATGCTGCTGAGCTAAATCCCCAGCTACAGATGGTACATCATGCTGTACCCTATAAATAGGCAAAATTTGAAACAAACAAACAAAAAACAGAGTAAGGTAACTAAAAGACTTTTGGGCCAGTGTGGCTATGCAGTTGTGATTCCAACCCTGTGGGAGCCTGTGGGGTAAGGTAGGAGGGAGTGAGGAGAAGGCCAGAGAAAAAAGGCAGTTCCTTCTAGTTCAGAGCAGCTTTGCAACTCTAGCTGAGGCCTGGGTAACCAAGAAAATGCAAAGGGCCAGTGTTACGGTTTGTGTCTGGATGTCCCCCCAAAGCCTCATGTAGTCAAGGAGCCAGGCTTCTAGAATTTGTGATTGATTCATGGTCCAATGCTGGGAATATGGGTGTGAGTGCTATACTCACCCTAGGGTGGGTAGCCTACATACAATATAAGGAGCAGAAAGAGTCTTATCTCCATGCTCCTCCATTTTGCTCTTGTTGCTTTTGCTGTTTTTTACCACCATGAACTGCTGCCCTCTGCCATGTGCCACTTTGCCTTGGACTCAGCTAATTATGGACTGAAATCTCCAAAAACTGAGCTAAATAAACCTTTCCTTCCTCAATTTTGTGTGTCTATTATTTTCTCTCAGCAATGAGAGAAAAATAACCAAGACAGAATTTGGTACCAGAGAAGTGGGGTCATTGCTGTGGCTTTACCTGGCCATGTGGTTCAAGAGCCTTTAGCAATGGATGTCCATGAGCCCAAGAGTTTGAGACCAGCCTGGGCAATACAACAATATTCTCTGTGTCAAAAACAAACAAAAAATCAAAAAATTATCCTAAAAATCTAAATTTGCCAAAATTATTTTATGAAAAATCATATAGCTCATTTAGCAATAGTGGGGCTTCCTTTGGGGAAAAGTTTAAATAGGCCCACTTAAATTTATTTTAATCAGCTTTAAACAAGAAATTATTTTAACTACTGAAAGCTAAGCATACCTTCATAAAAGGAAATCTTTGAAAACATTTTCCCTCTAAAAATAAGAGGATATTATGTTGATTTATGCTCTTGTATATACAAGTTTTTTAAAAAAGGTTAAACCTCAGGCTTTTGTAGAATTCTTTGTAAAATTTTAAGTGGTGTGAGAAAAGCAGTCTTTTGCTTGAATTCTGATGGAAGGGTTGAATGCCTTTCAAAGAATATGAAAAATTCATTGGAAAGTGTAATTTATATATATTTTAAGATGTTCGGTTACCTGGACAGAAGGCACTATACTCATATAGGCCAGATAATGGGAATATTCTGTACCTGAATCATTCTGTATTTTACATCAGGACATCATTTAAGTATTAATGTTATGCATACAAAAGGCGTTTGTTTTGCCTAAATAAATAGTATAAACTTTTTTTTTTTTTAAAAAAGAGCCTTTCACAGTGGTTTGTGGGGAGAGTTTGGAAAGGTTTGGAGATGTTGCCTGAAAGAGTAATGCTGGAACACATTAGGCTGTTCTGTATGAGATTCTGGTCAGAGCTCAGAAGACCAGAAAACTTGTAAAGACCAGGCTCCAGAGGTTTCTTCTAGGAAGGACTGCGTTGGTTATTGGAATCCAGGTGATGTGTGTTATTGCTTGGCAGAAAGTTTTCTGCATTTTGCTCATGTGCAGAGACTTTGCCTGAGATTGAGATTAAGAGTGACAAATTAAATAACCTGCCAGAAGAAATTTCAAAGCAGACTAATGTTGGGGTAGTGGGTATGGCTATTGTTGGGTACTTTTAGTCAGATTTATGTTGTGAATCAAGAGCAAAGAGCCCAGAAGAATGATTTAAAATGTGAATTTCGCTAAAAAAAAAAAAAAAAAAAAAAAAAAAAAGCTCCATTAAAGCTGTGGACTGAAAACATAGAGCTGAAAAAAAAAAATCTTGATTGCTGAGAAGGAACAGAATATAAAAGATGGCCTGAGCACATCACAAGAAGCAGCAAGTCTCCACCCTTTGCAACCTCAAAACTGCAAAAGTGAAAGATTTTACTTTGAGGAGAAAGTTGGAAAACACCATGTTCCAGAAAGGTGGTGGCATGGAGAATTTGTTCCTCAGAATTGGATTCTGAGTGCCCAGTGATCCAAGCACTCAATCCCTACAGTCAAGAGAGAGGAAAGCCTGGCTACTGCTCCAATTTTAATAAAATCTTCACATAGTGCTGGTTTTAGGTGCATGCAGAAGTTATGAGGTTAAAAAGACTTCCAACTTGATTTCAGAAGGCCTGGGAGGCCAGGCAAGTGTGCTTCTGAGAGAGCGGTATATGAAACTTTGAGTGTGAAGCTAAAGGTGCAGTGGAGATCCCAGAATTTTGGAGAAGCCAGGAACATGAGTCATCTGAGGAAATCTGCAAAGAGAGAAGCCACAGAGGCTAAAACCATAGGAGCTGAGTAACACAAACCTTTTGGAGCTCACAAAAGATTATCTCAAATGTTTCACATGGAACTATAGGACTTAATGTCCATTGGACTTTTGAATTGCTTTGGTCCCAGTGCTTTGTTGTCCCCATTTGTACCTTTTGGAATGGGAATATTTATCTTGTGCCATTGAATGTTTAAAGTGTTTAACTTTTCATGTGTGCAGGGACTCACAGCTAAGAGTTTGCCTTAGATCTTGGAGAACACTTAGGATTATAGGTATGCACCATCACATCCAGCAAAGTGAAATTCTATTATTAACCATTGAGAAAGAAGCCTACATGTGATACTCAGAGAGTGGGCATGTGAGCTAAATCCTCCCATGTCAGTCTGCAAAATCACTTCTTTATGTATGACAATAAACAAGAAACAGCCATGTATTACTTAGAGCCATGAGGGCAGCTAGCAGAACAACATGAACTAAAGTGCTCTGAGTACTTCCTCTAGCAAACCCAGTAGCACAGATTTATTTTGTGTCTTGAATACTGTTTGACTCAAGGGTCACCGGTAAGAACAAAGAAAGAAAAGTGGAGGCAAGGAAGTCTAAGATTTTAATTTAGGACCACAGTTTTTGCGTTTTTTTTTTTTTTTTTTTTTTTTTGAGTACCAGGGATTCAACTCACAGCCTCATGCTTGCCAAGCAGGCACTTATGCCACTGAGCCAGATCCCCAGCACACATTTTGGTTTTCATCCTTTCTTTTCTCTTTTGGCGTTTCTTACCTCATGGTTGTCCTGCTGGCTTTGACTCATTTAGTTCTCCCTCCCTCTCTCCCTCTCTTTTTCTCTCTAGCCCAGGTTGGCTTTGAACTTCTAGGGATCCTTCTGCCTCAGTTTCCTGAATGCTGGGATTACAGGTGTGCACAACCATGCCCAGCATATTGATCTTCTTGAGAAGTTACAAACAAGCAGTGATCTCCAAAACTTGCTTTAAAAATTTTAAGATTCTTTCTCTGCCTTTGCTTGTGTACATACTTAAAGAGGGTTGTGAAGATCTTTATTTATTTATCTTTAAATTTTATTTTATTTATTTATCTATTTATTTATTTTGTCTTTTTCCTTTTTATCAGTACTGGGGATCGAACTCACGACTGCCTGCTTCCAAGGCAGGCGCTTATGCCACTGAGCTAAATCCCCAGCCCCCTTATTTTTAAATTTTATTTTAAAGAGAGCAAAAAATGACACAGAATGTCAAAACAGGATAGTAGGAAATTCACAATGGTTAATATATTATGTGGTTTTTCAAAATATTTGCTCATAATACAAGATATAGAGTATGAAAAACTGACCATCCAATATAAGCACAGACCATCATTTGCAATTGACTAAAAGAAACTAGTAGTACAGACAGCCAGGCCCCAGCCTCTCCCCATGAATCAGCGCCATTTGCAGACTCCGGGGGCAGAGAGAACAAGTCCACACCAGGAAGAAAGCCTAGTCTGGGAACCAGTGCCATGTATGGGCCACCACTGGACTGGGATTAGCCAGACCCCAGTCCACTCTGGTACATGCACTGGCAAGCAAGAAGTACCAATCCTCTCCATTCCTTTCCACCTCACCACTGTAAGCAACCAGCTTATCGGAGGAACATAGGCTGTGATGATAGCTATGGAGGTGAAATGCAATTGGATGCCTGTGGTGCTTTGGTGTTTCACTAGCATTACAGGTCGAGGGCCAGTGGTCTGATCATAGGTTCAGAGGATAGAGCTATGCAGTGTGGCATGTAGGGGAATTTCCTTCCAAGGGTTGTAGCCATTGCTGGACTATCTGTGGTCTTGTTTTGAGGTCTTATATCGTTTCCATTGTTTTGTTGGGTTGGGTTTTATTCTCTTTTGTTTTGATTATGTCAAATCCAATGGCAAGAGCAGCTGTTTCAAAGATAGCAAGATAAATTATGGTAGCAATTTTGGATTTATTATAGGCTTGTTTTGAAGTCCTTTACTGCATTTATTTTCTTCGTTCTATTGTTTCTATTCTGTTGATTGATTTTTACTATGTCTTAAGTTATCTGCGGCTATTTTGAAGACATCAAAAGGCATTATGGTTACTATTATTGATTTTATAATGTTTTGAAGTCCTGTATCTCTTATACTGGTTTGATTGGTTTTATTGTTTTATCTTCTTTAAAATAAAACTAAGATCCTCAGTTCCTAAGTGTGATGATTGGATATTCATACTGTATGCATGACATGTGCCTTCTTCAAACCTTGTTATGACATCAGCACATTACTCATCTGATGTGAAGGAAAAAAAAGAAAACAAGAAGAAAAAGGAAAAAAAAAGAAAGAAAACAAAAAAAACTAAAAAAAAGTAGCAGTACAACATTGTTATTTATTTTTCCTTCCTTCTCCTTTCTATCCCAGCTGTTCTTTCCTTTTGAGCAGTTTCTTTCCCTTTCTCAATATCTATTGCAGACTTTGTATCTTATTTACTCTTTTACTTTCTTATATAGGGAGGCAATTCAATGTTTACACATGTGAGTTCGGTTTATTTCACTGAGTGTATGGTCTCTAGTTGCATCCATTTACCTATAAAAGCCTCGAGTTTATCCTTCTTTATTGCTAAGTAGGACTCCATTATATAAAAATAACACATCTTTTTTTATCCATTCCTTGGTTGATGGACATTTGGGTTCTTTCCATGATTTAGTTATTACAAATTGTACTGCTATAAACATGAGTGAACATATATCACTGTAGTACAATGTTTTTAATTCTTCTGGGAAAATATCCAGAAAGAAAATAGTTGGGTCGAATGGGACTTCTAGTCCTAGTTTTTTGAGGAATCTCTACATTGATTTCCACAGTGGTTACACCAGTTTGCATTCCCACCAACACTGAAGAAGTGTTCCTTTTCCCCCACAAGTCCTCCAGTATTTGTTGACTGATTTCTTAAGGAAAGCCATTCGTATTGGGGTCAGACACAACTTCAGTAATGTTTTAATTTGACAAGTGACACTGGGCATTTTTTCATATATTTACTTGCTATTTGTATGTCTTCATCTGAGAAGTCTGTTCATCTCAGATGCCTATTTTTGGATTGAGTCTTTGAATTGGGGGGGGCCTGATTTTTTAAATTCTTTGTATGTTCTAGACATAAGTCCTTTATATGAGGGACAGTTGACTAAAATATTTCCCACTCTGGGTTCTCTTTTCACTCTGTAAGTAATTTCTTTTAGAGTGCAAAAGGATGAGATCCTAGTTGTTAATTCTTTGAAGTACTTCCTATGCAGTTTAGTTTTTGTTCATGAATTCTCTGCTTACCCCTAAGTCTTTGAGATTTTTACTTTCTCTTCCAGTAGATTTAAAATTTTTTTTTTTTAATACCAGGCATCAAACTCATGACCTTACACTTTCCTGGCAGGCACTTGTGCTGCTGAGCTAACCCTCAGCCAAATGTCTCTGTTTTAATAGATGCATCTTTGATCCATTTTCACTTTAGTTTAGTGCATCCATTTTCACTTTAGTTTAGTGATTGATACAGGTCTAGTTTTACTCTTTGACATGTGGAAAGCCAGTCTTTCCAGAACCATTAGTTAAAGAGGCATTGTTTCAGGGAAAGTTTGGCCTCTTTGTCAAAGATAAGGTGGCTGAGTGTGTTTGTAGTTATATCTGCATCTCCTAATCTGTTCCATTGATTCTGGGTGGTTTTTCATTCTTTTTTTTATTGCCAATACCATTCTGATTTTATCACAGTAGCTTTCCAGTGTAATTTCAAGTCAGAGATTTTGACACTTTCTGCCTTCCCTTTGTGGCCCAGAACTGCTTTGCTATCCTAGGTCTCTTCTGTTTCCAAATGAATTTTAGGAATGTTTTCTCTAGACCTGTGAGGTATACCAATGGTATTTTGATCAAGATTAAATTTGTAGGGGCTTGGGATTTAGCTCAGCGGCATAAGCGCCTGCCTTGCAATCAGGCAGTCATGAGTTCGATCCCTGGTACCGATAAAAAAGACAAAAAAAAAAAAGATTAAATTTGTATAACAGTCTAGAGACTATGGCTGTTTTCACTATGTTGGTTCTTCCTAACCTCATGGATAGGATATCTATCCATGGGATATCTTTCCATTTTCTGATATCTTCTTTGATCTCCATTTTCAGAGTGTTGTAATTTTCAATGTATATATCTTTTATTTCCTTGGTTAGATTGATTTCTAGTACTTCATTTTTCTGGATGCTGGCATGAAGGGTGTGATTTCCCTAATTTCTGTCTCAGTGAGTTTGTTGTGTATAGGAATGCTATTGATTTTTGGGTGTTAACTTTGTATCCAGCTATGCTACTGAATTTGGTTATTAACTCTAGAAGTCTTTTAGTGGAGTTTTTGGCGTCTTCTATGTAGACTATCATAACACCTGCAAATAATGATAATTTCACTTCTCCCTTTCCTATGCTTATTCCATTTAGTACTCTTGTCTAATTGCTCTGGCTAATGATTCCAGAACTGAATAGGATTGGTGATAGTGGACATTCTTTTCTTGTTCTTGGTAAAAGCTTTCAGTTTTTGTCCATTTATTATGATGCTGGCTATCAGCTTCATATTTTTATCAGATTTAAGTAATGACAATCCCAATTTTCTGTATGGTTTTATTATGAATGAGTGGACTTTATAAAAAGCTTTTTCTGCATCTATTGAGATGATTGTGGGTTTTTGTCTTTGGCTCTATTGATATGATGTTAGATTTATTGATTTATGTGAACAATTCCTGCATTCCTGGGATGAATCCCACTTGGTGATTTAATGCATTGTTTGCTCATATCTTGTTGAAGATTTTTGTACTTTCATTAGGGAGATGGGCGTGTAGTTCACTTTTTTGGTTGGATCTTTCTCTGGTTGTAGAGAGTAATACTTGCCTTTAGGAATGAGTGAGGCAGTATTGCTTCCCTTTCAATTTCATTAAAGAATTTGAAGAATATTGCCATTAAATCTTCTCTAAATTTCTTATAGAATTCAGCAGTAAACCCATCAGGAACTGGGCTTTTCTAGTTTTTTTTTTTTTAATTACATTTTCAATCTCAGTAACTCATATGGGGTTATTCAGAATTTTTATATCTTCTTGATTCAGCTTTGGTAATTCATACATATCTAGGAGTTTATCCATACTTTGTTTTCCATCCTAAGAGAGTAAAGATTTTCAAAGTAGATATTGGTGATCTTCTGAATTTCCACAGCATCTGTAGTGATTTCACTCTTTTCATTCCTCAATGCATGAATTTTAATCTTTTCTTTTTTTTTAAACAGGGTTAGAAAAGGTTTAATTTTATTTAATTTTTCAAAGAACCAACTCATTTATTCTTTTTATTGTTCTCGATTGCATTAATTTCTGCTCTGATCTTTATAGAATGGGCTTTGGGTTTCTCTTGCTCATCTTTTCTAGAAGCTTGAGATGTAACATTAGGTATTTATTTGTGCTCATTGTTTTCCTGAGTGGGAATTTACCACTTTAAATTTCACTCTTAGGACTGTTTTGATTACATCTCATAAGCTCCAGTATGTTTTATCTGCAGTTATTTAGATGTAGATATTTAATTTCTTTATTTGTGATCCATTGGTTGTTTAGCAGGTTATTTAATTTCCATGTGTTTATGAAGTGTTTCTTTTGCCATTAATTTCCAATTTCATTGCATTATGACCTGATAATTGGCATGGGATAATTTCAATGCCTTTGCATTTACTTAAGCATGTTCTGTGGGCAAGCATAGTCTATTTTAGAGAACAGCCAATGTGCAGCTGAGAAGAATGTGTATTCTGATTATGAGTAGAGCCCTCTGTATACAAGTACTAAGTGCATTTGTTCACAGGTTTGGTTCATTTCTTTCTTTCCTGGTTTTTTGTCTAGTTGATCTATTTCTGTGACAATGGGGTATTAAAGTCCCGTTATAACTGTTATTGCTTATTTGATTTTTCATGTTTATTAATAATTGTCTTATATAGTTGAGTGCTCCTGCATTTGGTGTATGATTATCTCTTCCTCTTGCAGCTTTCCCTTAACAAGTATATCTCTTTATCTCTTTTGATCATTCTTAGTTTGAAGTTTACCTTGTGTGTCAACAGAATAGCTATCTCTGGCTTTTCTTGGATTCTTGTTGCATGGAAGATTGTATTCCATCCTTTGCCTTTCAGTCTATAAATTTCTTTTTTACTTAATGTGTTTCTTGTATACAGCATATTGTTGAACCTTGTTTCTTGGTCCATTGTGCTAGTGTGTTTCTTTTGATCAGTGAATTGAGGTCATTTACAGTGATGGTTATAGTTGATATGCTTTGGCTTATCTTTGTCATTGTATTTTTTTTTTTTTTTTTTTGCCTTTTTCCTTTTTATTGGTACTGGGGATCGAACTCACGACTGCCTGCTTGCAAGGCAGGCGCTTATGCCACTGAGCTAAATCCCCAGCCCCTGTCATTGTATTTTCTTGGTATTGGTTCCCTGCTCTTCCTGTCTACATTACTTGCCCTACTTGATGGTTTCTCTTTTTTTCTCAAAATTGTGGTCATTTTTTTCTGTCTAGAATATCTTACAGTACCATTTGCAATTTCTTTAGTTGTCATGGAAGTATGTTATTTTCCCATTAATTCTGAAAGATAGTTTTGCAGGTTACACCAATTCGGATTGAAAGTTGTTTTCTTTTAGGACCTGAAAAATTTCACTCCAAGCTGTAACTTGAGCGTTGTTTTGAGAAGTCTGCCATGATGAGTTTTCCTTTATAGGTGATGTTTCTTTTCTCTAACAGTATTTTTTATTGTGTTCTTGTCCTGAATTTCTGGGACCTTGATTATTATTTGTCTGGATATAGATTTATTTTGGTTATGGCTAATTATAGTTCTGAATGCCTCATTTATCTGCATGTCAGATTCTTTTCTCATGGTTGGGAAATTTCTGCTATTACTTCTCCAAGTAGATTTTTAAAAAAATATCATTTGCATAGTCTTTTTTTCACTGACATTAATTATTATTTTTCTTTGCATCGTATTTTAGCTGTTGAATTTTTTTCCTGATTTTTATTTTCAAGAAATTTTTCATGCTTGCTAGCTGCAATCCTTTCTTCAAAGTTTGAAAGTCTGTCTTCAGTTTCATTCAAGTGGTTTTGTCAACTTTCAATGGAATTTTTAATTTTCTGGATGTTTGAATTTGCTTCATGCATTCTATATCTTTCCTATATTGACCATTCAGTTTCTATCCTCTTCCTATCTTCTATTTTTTTTTTTTTTTTTTTTGTCTTTTTCATTTTTATCGGTACCAGGGA